GTTTGTGAAAGACAGTTTGAGCGTTGGTTCCAAAACCATTGACGTTACCATTCTTCAAGACAGGTTTCCACATCTGCAGCCAATTAAACCTATTGTCTACAACTATTCCGACGTTGAGATGATATTAGGGCAGGATGTCTTTCATGCAATCAAGCCTCTCGAATACTTCCAAGGACGAAATCAAAACACTCCTGTCGCTGTCCGTATGCCCATTGGCTGGGTTCTCAGTGGCCCACTTCCATCACCAATTGGTGTTCGAGCCACCACTTTCAAGTGCAATGTTGAAGACGTAGTACTTGCTGACCAAGTGAAGAAATGGTACGAGCTAGAGTCGTATGGCACGTTTAAACAAGCTGATCCCCGTTCCTCAGCTGATAAACGTGCACAAAAAATTCTTGACTCTACCACGATTCATGATGGCAGTCGTTATATTGTCGGAATGCTCTGGGCTGCTGACAATATTTATCTTCCCGATAACTTTTACGCGTCGTTAGTCCAGCTTAAGTCTCTTGAAAAGCGTCTAGAGAAAGATTTAAACCTGAAAACTCAATACGCATCAGATATCCGAAGTGATGTCGAGAAGGGTTACGTGGTCCCGGTTAGCCCTCGCGACTCAAAAAACCGTTCAGACCGAGAATGGTACGTACCGCACCACCCAGTTTTAAATCCGAACAAACCCGGCAAAGTTCGGCGCGTTTTAAACGGTGCTTCTAGGTTTCACGGCAGTTCACTGAATAACTCCCTTCTCGTCGGCCCCGATCTGCTTCAGAACCTTTTATTCGTTTTAATGCGCTTCCGAGAGCACAAATACGCAATTTCCGCAGATATCGAAGGCATGTTTATGCAGGTCGGCTTACTAGAAAGTGATCAACGTTCCTTGCGTTTTTTGTGGCGGGAGGACCCCACATCAGATGTGAGTGTATTTCAATATACAAGGCATATATTTGGAGCGAAAGATTCTCCGACATGTGCTAACTATGCTCTTCGCCAAACAGCCGTCGATAACCAAGATCGTTACCCCGATGCCGCTTACGCCGTGCTTAACAACTTTTACATGGATGACTACATTGGGTCTGTGAAAAACACAGAAACTGCTTTAGGGTTAAGTCGCAGTTTAGTTGAAGTGCTTAATTTGGGTGGGTTTAATCTTACAAAATTTATTAGCAACGTTCCCAATTTGTTTTCGAAACTAAATCCCCCTAAGACCAGCGCTAACAACAATAAGAACATTTTTACCGCTGCGATTAATCCGGAAACCGCATCGCATGTTCTCGGTCTCAAATGGGACCACGTCACCGATACGTTGGTTGTGAGCAGAGGAGTCAACCGCGAACTCAAAGACTCTGTTACGCAGCGATCGGTCCTTAGTTTTGTGTCCTCCGTGTTCGACCCCATAGGTCTTGTCGCCCCGTATACCGTACGCGCACGTTTGTTACTGAAAGATATCTGGAGATTGAGTGGCCAACAGTGGGACGACCCACTGCCAATTGAGTTGTGCCGCAGATTCACTGAATGGCACTCTGGCTTGCCAGTTTTAGGGCAGCTCAAAATACCTCGTTGCTATTTTGACTTCTCAGTAGATGAGGTTGAGCTGCACATGTTCGGTGATAGCTCATTGGACGTTTTCTGTTCTGTAGCATTCCTTCGAGCTCAGAAAAACGCCTGTTCCAAATGTCAGCTAGCGTTTGTTTTCGGTAAAGCAAGAGTAGCCCCGATGAAGATGCTTTCAATTCCGAAGTTGGAACTTCAGGCTGCGCTTCTTGCCAGTCGCCTGAAGGATGATATCGAGAAAGCTCTGACGCTGAGTATTTCCAAAGTGTTCATGTGGACTGACAGCACAACAGTCCTTCAGTGGTTGAACTCAACAAGCAAACAGCCCGTGTTTGTAGCCAATCGAGTAGCCGAGATTCTGGAGTCAACATCAATTGACCAATGGTTCCATGTTTTGAGTGGAGACAACCCCGCTGACACCGGAACTAGAGGTATTACTGCTGACTCCCTCAAGCAAAGCAGTTGGGTAAACGGCCCTTCCTTTTTGAAAACTTCTGATTGGCCGTTCAATCCAAATAGGGAAGTTACTGACAAAATTCGCTTGGATGGTCCGGTCTACGATCTAAACGAGGGTTTAGAGGTCTCTTCGAATTTTCCGTGCACTGCAGTTTCGACTGACTTTGCCTTCCCTTGGGAAGAGTATAGCTCGTTCTCCAAGATAAAGCGACTTTCGCATATATGTTGAGACTCTCACCTAAGCATAGACATTTCAGATCCCCAGATAAGGCCATAATTGATCCAGCAGAACTTGTTATTTCAGAGGAAAAACTTTTGCAACTTTCGCAGTTAGAGTCATTCCCAGCTGAAAGTAAACAATTAGCAGCTGGAAAATATGTGAAAACGTCGAGCCGTATATCATCGTATTCGCCTTTTATCGGGCCGAACGGTTTAATTAGATCTACCGGCCGTATCCAACGTCTCTCTGCAACCGCATTCAAAACTCGCCATCCAATAATTTTGGATAGCCGCCATCGCCTAATCCGATTGTTTCTCCGTTTTTATCACAATAAGCATGAACATCAGTCAGTCGACTACCTTCGTTCCGTCATTCATCAGCAATTTGTTGTACTACGCTTAAGATCTGCACTAAGAGCTATTGAAACACATTGCGTGTGCTGTAGAAAGCGAAAAGCGAAAACCGTTACTCCAATGATGTCTGACCTTCCCGCGGAGCGTCTAGGTTACCGCCAGCCACCGTTATCGAACTGCGGCGTCGATTATTTTGGACCATTTCATGTAACCATTCGTCGATCTTCCGAGAAACGCTGGGGTTTTCTATTTACTTGCTTAACGACTCGCGCAATTCACATTGAGTTGGTTCCATCCATGGACACAAGTTCATGTGTGATGGCTATCGAGCGCTTTATTTCTAGGCGAGGAACACCCTCAATAATTTGGTCGGACAACGGAACAAACTTTGTAGGAGCCGAAAAAGAGCTTCTTCTGTGCATCAAAAATTGGAACACAGAAGCTCCACTGTCGCTCGTACACAAAGGCATTAAGTGGAAGTATAATCCGCCAAGTGCACCACATCAAGGTGGAGCATGGGAGCGAATGGTGCGCAGTTGTAAGCTTGTGTTTTATGCAATCTTAGGGTCAAGAAAGTTGACTGACGAGATTTTGAACACAACCATGTGCCTAGTTGAAGGTTCACTAAATGCCCGTCCACTCACTCCCGTTTCTGACGACCCCGATAGTCTTGAGGCTTTGACGCCGAATCATTTCCTCTTAGGTCAGCACAGTCTAACGTTTCCGTCTCTAAGGTCGAGTGAAAACTATTCTCACTCTAAGCGCTATGCCCGTGCGCAGTCGTACGCAAACGCAATTTGGCAGCGATGGTTAAGTGAGTACGCCCCTACACTCAATAAAAGAGTTAAGTGGCCTGCTCCTCCCGAATACTCTTTGAAAACGGGAGATATGGTGTGGTTAGTTGAATCCACTAGCCCTTGGGTCCACTACCCACTAGCACGCATAACGTCGCTAAACTATTGCAAAGACAACACCGCCCGTTCGGCAAACCTAAGGACCGTTTCCGGAAACTACACTCGGCCGCTCGTTAAGCTCGTTCCGGTTCTCGCTCCTTCGGGAGTGGAGGATGTTAATGCTACATAGCATTAAAGTATGAAAGTATAGTATAAAGCCAGTATAGTTGCTTATCAATATCAGCTATATAGCTCAGCGTATACATAGTGCGTTCCGGGGAGTTCGGCGTGGGTTCGATTCTCACCTAAGTCGTTTCATTTGAGAATCCTATTTGAGCCGAACCTGACAGATCATAAAATGCTAATATTTTAATCGGTTCAAAAATTGTTTGCAATTGAGTTTCTGTTAATTAAACTGCGTGAATTAAGTATGAACTCATTGTGAAAAAACAGATAAATCACACAAATCAGGGCATGAACAAGCCAACTTTTTAACTTGATACGTGTAATGTTGTTGCTAATTCCGTGCAATAAAAAATTACTAAAATTCGCCGTTTATTGATTCTGTTGAATTAAACCGATTCTGTTTCCTGTTTTTATAAGATATAAAAAAGTTATAAAAAAGGCCAGAATATTGGGTAACTCATAGAACTTTGTTAGATTCCTATTTCTGTGAACATATGTGGCGAAAAACCAAAAACGCAGACCATAAAGATTTATTTGATGAAAAATTGGAAGACATCATTCTCCTAATTCACCAATTTAAACTCAATTTTTCATGTTTTAAAAGGGGGGAACTGGAAAAGAGTCCAATTTTGAAAGGCTGCTTTAACGATGTCATGTTTAACCTTTCATTGGTTACATCGTAAGATCATGCATTTAACCATAATCACACGTAAAAAAACTCTTAAAATAGAAAATTTGAAAGTTAGGGTGAGTAGAAAACAGCCGGGTTTGATTTTTTCCTGGTGTTTAACAAGCACGGTTTTTAATCTTCGAACTTGTCCATTTTTTGCATTCCTGGTGTGAACTGATATAGTCAATTCTGCATTCGAAAGCGATTGATTAATATTGAACTCAAAATTGTTTTATTAGCTGAGGACATCAACATTTTACAGATGGTAGGAAAATCACTTAACCAAAAAGTCGAATATAGTCGTTAAAAAAACAATAATATTTAATCTTTTTCTTCAAAAGTCAAAGCGACAAGAAAACTCGTATCAGAGCATAGCGTTTGATAACTATTCCGAGTTTATTCAGTTTATTTATTCATACATATCGGCTCTTTTTCCTTTTCCCGCACCTCAGAGCATCAAGTTTTTGGTGTAACGAGTAATTTTACAAGGTTAATTAAGAAAACTAATATGTTTGTCATTGCCTAATTTGTCCGTATGTAAATTTTCCTAACAATCGGACAAAGTGAACAGTACTTTTAGTTGAAAAGTTTGCAGGCCGGCGGAAAAGGAAAAAGAGCCCATAATGCTTAGCTCACGTATTCACAATTAAGATAAAGAGCAAAAATTGTACCGTAGAGAAAGTCATAGTTCCGAGTGGGGTTCAAAGTCGGCTTCCTCAAAGTATGCACTTCCGTCATCTTAGAGAACTATGTCGTGTCGTGATAAGTCGTGTTGCGTGATAAATCGGGTCAATTTTTCCTCTAGTTTTACAAATGGTAGATCGCAAGCTCAAATTTACTTGCAATAACAATAGCATGCGTCGTACAAAAAATTGATCCAAGTGTTTTAAATGGAGATTCAAATGATGTCAGCTCAAAGTGCGCACGCCAAAAATGTTTCTACTCGTTTGAAAAAATGGTAAATGTACGGTAAGCACGCACGTCGGTTTTCTGCTTTGGTTAGTTTTTTGCTCTCAAATAAAATGTATTCAACCAATTTATCAAAGCACCTGCTTAAATTATTATATGCGAAGCAAGATAAAAAAAATACAAAGCTTCAGATTTAAAAAAATCCACGTGCATAAAACAATCGAAAGTATCTAGTACATTGAAAAGATTTTGCAGACCAATAATTTGCTAGAGTATATATCTTTCTCCCATTATCGTTTACAATTGTTTTTAAAAAAATTTCCTCCCAATTAATTTTAACCACCTGAAAAAATTTCATCAAATTCCCTGAAACGCTTTTTGCCTAAATGATTCGCGAACTCTTTGTTTAAGTGACACATGTAATTTCTTTGATATTCTTCAGTTTATCGAGTATTATTTATCAAACAAATCTGTTTTACTTGTTATAACTAATTAATTACCCTTTATAAGCCACAATGCCCCCCAAGAGACAGAAGAGTGGGCAAGGGAGTGCTGGACCCCCCGGGGGAGGGGGAGGGGGAGGAGCAGCACAGCAGAAGTGGGAAGCAGGCCTCATAGCAGCCCCATTCAATGATGTAAGTCCGATGCAATGAAATCGCCCTAATTTTTAATACCAAAAACAACAGAACTATTTTGGATTTTTACAGCTTCCTTCTTTGATTTGTCCTTAAAGTAAAAAAAAAACAATTTTATTTAAAGGTGCCAGTATAGATATATGCTACTTAACGCGGTTTTTCCGTCAAAATTTTCCAAAAAGTGCCCCAAAACGGCTTTTCTGACCTGCGGCTCAAAAGTTTTTGTTCAATTTGGTCGAACTAAAAAAAGGTCCGCAAAATTTTCAAAAATGTTTGAAAATTATCCTCTCAAAAAATTTTATAGCCGCCTCTGTTTTTATTGTTATGAAATGTAATAAGACATGGGGCGGCAATCCGTAAAAAGCTACCATTAGTAACTGTAGATTAAGCGGCAAACGCTAATTACGCGAGTTCTTTCCAACTTTGGTGTCTTTCCCCTAACAGTGAATTTTGTGTTTTGGGGAGGGCTTTATACGTTTTTGAGTGGGGGTAGGTGGGGGGGGGGGGGTTTACATAGTACTTAGGCACGACAAACATATTTGGTACTCATATTTAACTTTGAAACCTTATACATGAAAAAACCGAGCGTTAGAAACAAGGGGTTAAAGGTACATGCAGTCGATTAGTTGTAGGATGACATCCACTGACCTCGGGACTCATAGTTGTGGTACTTCCTCGCATAGCCAGATAAAAACAACCGGTCAAGGACAAACAGTCTGTTCATGAAAGGCTCGAAATCAGCGGAAAACAGCCTATTGAATAGTTAGGAAAGTTGTCTTAGAGCCGAGGAAATTGGATCTAAGTTTCAACATTTTTCATAATATTTCACACGAATGAATGATTGAGAGATAGCTTTTCTGATCTGATTCAAATGATCTGATTTTCGAAAAAGTAGATCATAATCTGCTAAAATGAGTAAAATTAAGTTAAAATTTTAAACTTTTGTAATATTGGAAATGGGCTCTTTTCCAGTCCCCCCTTTCAAATTCAATTTTGAAAAGTCTATTTAACGTTGTCATAATACAATGAAATTTGGCGTGGTGAAACAATTGACAACTGTGAAACTGGAAAAGAGCCCAAATCTGGGCTCTTTTCCAGTTCCCCCCCCCCCCCCTTTCAAATGTTTTTCATACTTTACATTGTAACATCACGCATTTAGCCGTATTTACACACCTAAAACTCGGTATTTTGAAAGAAAGAAACTGGAAAAGAGCCGAATTTGTTCACAATTGAAAGCTTCCCCGGTCAAGGTGCTCACTTTATGTTTCGACTTTGAAAGTCGAGCACATGTCAGTACTCAACCGAAAAAGAATAATCGATACAGGGGTTTCGGTAGAGCACAAATTTGAAACATACCTCGAGCACGGTCAAAACATACCTAGAGCACGGTCGAGAACGCTCGAGCACAGTCGAGCACGGTCGGAAAATAAAGTGCTTTATGGCCAATTTTTATTGCTCTATGGCAATGTTAAGAAATTATCTCAAAACTGAAAATAAAAGAATGGGGGAATAGAAAAGAGGGCTCTTTTCCACTTTTCACACACCTTTTGAATTCACGTTTGAAAAGCTTCTTAGGAAATGTTGTCATAAGGTAATTAAATTTAGCATGGTGAACCAAGTGAACAATACTGCTCGTACACTCCGCGTCATAAAATTTCGTACCATATTAATACATGGTAAACACTTGTTTAAAGACAAAAGTTGGCCAAATTTTTTCGTACTTTTGGGTTTTTGTTAGAAAAAGTCACGAACTCGCAAATGGTTCTGTACACATGCAATCACGCGAGATCAGTTTGTTCAGTTTCTGTTCAATTTTTGTTAAGTTTGTTCAGCTTTTGACATGCACTCACGCGAGATTATCGAGTTAGCCAAAGAAAAACATGCAAATGATTTTTCATATCGCCCAATCAGCCAAGAACTGAGTTTACCAAGATCAACAGTGCAGTATATGATCATGAATGACTACTCAAGAGTGAACGCAGAGCAGGGACCCAAGCATGTGGCCGTTGGCTTCAAAAAACTGTATAAAAAACGATGCGTTGCTCTGCGGAAAAAACGCAAAGAAAAGGTGACAGCCTCAAAAATCCTGAGGGAGACAGCCCTCAAAATCAGCAGAAGAACGGTTCATCGAGCTTTATCAAGAATGAGATATGGATACAAAAATGCAAAATTCAAGATAATTTTGATCAAAAAACAGAAAGAAAATCAAGTACGCTTCTGCACTGAATGGTTGACTAAACCAAAAAAACTGTGATGAAGTCGTATTTACGGATAGAAAAAATGTTAAACTAGACGGACCCGACAACTGGTGTTCCTGGATGGAAGAAAATCATCAAGTTTACCTCAGAAAACGTCAATGTGGGGGTGGTTCACTAATGGCCTGGGGTATGATTTTTTCGACCGGTCACATTTTTGTCAAAACGGTAACTGGTCGAATAAATTCAGACACCTACATCAAGCGTACGAAAGACACTGCCATACCTTTAATGAGAGACTTTCTCCACAATGGTTTCGTTCTGCAACAAGACAATTGCAGTATTCATGTTTCAAAAAAAGTTTGAACTTTTTTGAGAAGATGGGCATTGAGCTTCTACCTTGGCCCACCAGGAGCCCGGATCTCAACCTCACAGAGAACGTGTGGAGCAAGTTGAGTTCAAGGGTTTATGATGGTCCGCAACGGAAAAACAAATAAGAACTGGAACAAAAAGTTTTTGAAGCCGTAGACCACATGAACTCGCATCTTTCTGATATTTTAAAACTCTATTCTCGTCGTTGTATAGTCGTTTCTTATCACGAGAAATGGAAATAAAGTTTCTTACTGACTTTTTTAAACATTTCTGAAATCGTACAAAAAAATTTGGCACACTCTTGCTTTGAATTGATGAAATTACATGTATTAAGATGGTACGAAAAAATGTGACGCATAGGGTATCAGGGCGAAGCCTTGAATGTTCCGACTGCCGTTTAAGGTTTATGGAGCAGTAATATTATAAAAAAAGTTAAATGTAGTAAAATAAAATGAAAAAAAAAATCTTAAGTTTGAAAAATTTTATGAAAATCATGCCCCCACACGCCATATAAAGTACAAAAGAATAGATTTCGCTCCTTTTAAAAAATCAATTACGGCAAATAAGCTTCTTTCTACCAATTTGGAACGACTTCTAAGACGGATTAAATCTCCGCTCACGCGTTTATAGCGCGAGGTATTAATTTTCTCAAAATGGCCAAAATCGCGATTTTTAAACCCCTATAATTTTACAAAAAACGATCACAGGTGAAATATCTTTTCAAATTTGAGCTCAGGACAACAATAACTTTTGAATGATTTTTAAGAATTCCGTCAAAAATGGCTTGTTAAAAAGTCGAAATTTGTCTGAAGAAAAAAAACCCACTTCGAGCACAAATATTCCGTTACTTTCGTATCGAAAGTCGGAATAAAAGTATCTTTAATTGATAAGTTTGCCCAAATTTTGTCATTGAACGATGGGAAACTTCAGTAAACTTACTTACTTTTTCTGTATAATGCCCATCTCATATATAACTGGCAATTTTCAAACCTCATTACTTTATGAAAAATGATTTGAGCATAACAGGAGAAAAACTTGAGCTCCTCAAATCTCTGGATTCCAGATGGTTGAAGAAGTTCCGTTCAACAATGACTAGTTAAGCGTCGAAATTTGTCTAAAAAGCAACGTAGAGTGCAGGCTTTCCGTCTTTATCCTCAAAAGTTTAGCGTTGTCATAAGGCAATTCAACACTAGGCATTAAAACAGAATAGCCTAAAATGTAGCCATTGTAGCTAAAAAATATTACGTTCAACATTTAAGAAGTTGGGTAAAGTGACTTATGGTGATGGAGAGAATAAAAGAGCCCAAAAGTATAACTCTTTTGAATCTTTTCCCCACATTTCAAGTTCTCTAAATTTATACTTTTCGTACGTAAGGCAATGGTTAAATGCGAGATGTAACGATGTAAAATAATACCTACGTGTCTATAGTTAGTTTGGGCTCTTTTCCAGTTTCCCAACCCCCTCGTATAATTAATAAATTAAGCTATTCAAAAAATGTTCACACGGCACTTTGCATTTGAAAATTTCGTAAAAATCTGTTTATCTGCTCACGATGACCCGTTTTGATGCAGTTTATAACATGAAAAAAAATTTTAAATAGACTTTCTTTTATTGAATTTCAGAAAAAATCAAAGGGGGACTGGAAAAGAGCTTTAATTTGTTCACCATGCACAATTCACCATGACAATGTTAAAACATGTTTTCAAATTTAAAGTTCAAACTTAGGGGGGTGGACAGGAGCCAACTTTCCGATTAACATAACTCCGAAATGGACCAAAACCAACTTTTCTCAAAACGGCATAAAATCAGATTATCATGCTTTTCATCAACAAATTTTCACCAGCAACGAAAACAAGTTAACAGGATTCGAAGCTAAGTATTTCCAAACTTTGATGATAATTTTGTTGGACAATTTGATCACAAGAAAATATTTCGCATCAACAAGCTTATGTTTTTGACAAGAAATCGAAAACTTTTTTCAAGATAAACTCTCAACCAAAAATTGAATCAATCAGTTTTTTGTTTTATTTTTTGTTCTTTAGAAAAGTTCTCATGAATAAGTTTTGATGGTATATCATTTGGACGGCATACCAAAAGATCAGTTTTTGGCAGAATTATCAGATGCGCCAATATACTGAAAGTAACAGTGTACTCTGACTTGATTGGCTGCATCCTTTCAAATGCTAAGGCCTTGCCGCTCGTGAAAGATGTTCTATATTTTTTTCATTCCTAACTACTTTGCTGTTAATTCTCGCTATTAATTACATAAGCGAAATATTTATTAAATGATGATTTGTTAAAATCTTAATTAACTACTAGAAAGCATTGATCAATTTTAAAGAACTCTGCTAACTGTTCTGCACATATAAAATAACTTCATAACAAAACTCAAAAAAATCAAAAAAAAAAATTTCCCGCGTTTTCAGCAAACT